AAAGTAAGTTTGAATAAAAGATACGGGGCAAAAAGAAGAGTTTGGCTGAATATATTGTTAACTGTTCGCTAAGGACTATAAACATATAAGAATGACTTCGGATATTTTTAGAACTTTGAGATGGTTGGAAGAAAGCTGAGTAAAGTTTGGAAAGGAAAATGGAGCTGGCGGTGATTTCTAACAAGATACAGAAGGCATTACTTCTGGAGCTTAGGTCAGACCATTTTCAAAAGACTCTGAAAGAAGAACTAAATAAGACACTTGCGCTGGTTTGGGACAATGTTTTAAGCAATACGCGATGTGTATATGAAGAGGAAGACTGCAATGTAGAACAAATAAAAGAGACACAAGCACAAGATGAGTTACAGAAAGCTACACGAGCAGGGGATTTGCAGATTACTCAGTATTTATCCACAGAAATTGACCTACAGGAACTGGAGTTACTGATTAATGTGCCTCCGGAGGAGGAGAAAACTTTGAAAGTAAAAGTCGGAGGAAAAAGGCAGTTAAACCTCTTCCGGAGGAAAAGAAAGAAAGCAATGAGGAGGAAAAGATTGTTGAAAGTTTTAAGGAAGGTTAAATACTGTAATAATAAATACCTGAATTTGGACATACTGCAATACAGGAAAACTAACTGCGGAGACAATTTAAAAGAATACAGAGACCAAAGGCACTTGAAAGAAAATAGGGAAAATCAAATTAAAAAAGAAATAGAGTATAGGCTGACTGTAAATGATTTCTATAGATTGGTGGTCTTTAATGATTTAAGTTATGCGGCTACTATAGGAGATGACTCTGCATAGGAGACGATATAATTTGGATATAATTTGGAGGCTTTAACTGCAATGAAGCTAGCTGTTAGAAATAGGTTAAATAATAACAGTATTATATTTTATGTTTGAATTTATATAGGTATCTGATCCGAACCGACTGAGAGACGGTATAATCAAATTAGCTCAGTTAATCAACTATTTGTTGGGTTTCTCATGTTCTGTTTACAAGCATAATTTATATAATTTAAGGGGTGGGTCAGACCAAATGTCTTACAAGAATCAACTGAGGATGTTTTATTTTTAGATTTATGCCTTATACTAATGATGTTAATTGTCTGCGTTAATTTCACAAGCAAAATAATTTTTGATTGGAAAGCCAGTGGCTAAAAAGGAAAAAAAATAAATAAACAATAAGAGGAGACGTTAACTTCCAGTAGAATAAGGGTTCTGAATCAAATAAGCTAATTGGAACTAAACAGCTGAACTTTAAGATGAATAGGAATATAAGCAATAATATTAAGATACCCAGGACAATGGTGTGCATGAGACAAAAAGATTGTAGAAACCAGGTAATGAATTAATTAACCTGATCTGGTATCATGGAAAGAATATAGCATTGTATGTTGGTGGGGGGATTTATGTCTGTTATGTTTGACAATGTTTGGAAAACTTAATAAAGATATAATTATTTAAAAAAAACACTATTTAGACAGAAATGTATTAGGTGTTGCAAGGTTTTCTGAACCCGGTGACATCTCTTGTGATCCAGGCTGTTCATCTTAATGATCTGCTAGGGCCTGTTCCTCTCACAGAATGCCAGTTCCCTGATTTTACAGCACTGTTTGAGAAGGAAGGTCAAACCAAAGACTTTGTTTTACATTTGAAATTGATTTGGAAAGTAATGGAGGTGCTGCCTTGAGGCTTTACTTTAATCTGACATAGCAACGTAGCCGTACTGAGGTTTTCATGGCTCGGTTAGCCTAAGGGTGGAAATGCTGTCTCCTGAGTCACCTTGATGCCTTTGCTTAGGCTTGTGGTATAAGGGAAAGTGGCTCACATACAATGCCACCTTTCTAAATAATTGAAGTCGATGGGCTTAAAAGGGTGTAACTCTGTTTGGATTGTACTATTTGGATTGTACTATTGGTGCCAGAAGAAAAGTGTTTATTGGCCTTGTTCTGTGGGACAGGAACTGCCCCCATTGATTTGTTCAAAAGAAATATAGGGGTTGGGACAGATCCTGGTCCTGTGAGGGTCTGGTATGCTAGATGGAGTAAGGATGATGGCTGTTTTCTAAAGGGTGCATTCCTATAGGTATTTCCACTATAGAATTGGAACTGTTGGCGTCAGTTATGCAAACAGAAAACATTACCATAACAGAGTATCTCGGGATTCCTCTTGTAAAGCTAGCTCTGGTTCTTCTATCCCTGTTTTCCAGCTGGGATCATTATGTTATGATGTGGTGAGTGCTGGAATCTAAATAGAGAATACTGCTAAAAACACAGTAGGTGTGGGCTTCAGCAAGTCATTGTTCCCCTTTGGATCATGAAGAATATGAGTTAGCATTTAGATAGCACCTTAGGGTGCTCAAAGCACTTCGCATACATTATTTCATTATTGTTGTTATCATCATTGTTTTGTTATTTCAGGGGGGCGTGTAATGCTAGCTATAATGGGATTGGGAGATCTCTGTGTGCTGTTCTGAGGTATGATGGGATGAAATGGAGTAGATTACTCTGGTCATACTGATTGACCACTTGAATGATCTCTTAAGCATACAAATGAGCAGTGGAAAGTAATCTATGTACTAATACTTAAGGGCATGATCATCTAGGTTTTGCTTGTGGGACTGGATGAATTAGTTCAACACTGGTTTCTGCATAGATGATTCTTGCAGGACATATGAACAACCTGGCCCTTTGCTAATATCACTCAGTCCATACACCTTGATGGGGATGACTATGAGTGTGCAGTCTATGTGACTAGCTGGTCGCCGTCTGCCTTGTTTAAAAATACTTCTTGCACAGCAGTTGTCATCTGGGTCCTTATTTTTTTCTTATGGGATAGAATCCTTATTCTATTTTCCAGGTTTTTTTTCTGTGCGGATACTTATTTCCACCAACAGGGGGCTCACTCTCCCCCAACCGCTTTTCCTACATAGTCAGTAGACTTCCTGTGTTTGTAGATTTCCCCACGCTTTCAAGGCCCGACTTCTGCCCCCCACAGAATCGGGCCCGGGGGAAACCCCACCCCCGCGCATGCATCACCCGGAAGTGACGTCGCACGCTGGGGGTGGGGCCACGCCATTTGAGGGGGAAATTCTTTGTTTTCCCCTCAAATGGCGTGGCCCCGCCCCCAGCGTGCGATGTCACTTCCGGGTGACACGCGCGCGCACGAGTTAGACACCGGCCGGGAGCCCCCCGCTCCCGGCCAAAATTCATTTGGCAACCCTATAGAAAAATCCAAAAACTAAAAAAATCCCTTCAGGGATGGCTGAATCCCCCCCCCCAAAAAAAACCTTTTGAAATGGCCTCTGCAGGGATGTGCTTCAGGCATCAATGGTGAGAGGTTAGAATGTTTGGGGTGGGGGGCTTCTAACTGGCTTTGTCAGTAAAGGGGTGGGGGAAAGGCCCTTTCCAGGCCTCATTCGGCCTTTGAGGGAGGAAGGGAGCCTTGGGGCCAGGCCTGACAAGGGTTGTCAGTGCCAGGCTGGGGGATTTCTAGAGATTTTGTGGTGGACTCTAAGGAGGGCTGGGTTTGGGAAGGGAGAGGCCTTAGCTGGGTATAATGCCACAGAGTCCACCCTCCAAAGCAGCCATTTTCTGCAGGGAGACAGACCTCTGCTGTCTAGAGTCCAGTTGTAATTCTGGGGGGGTCTCCACGTCCCACTTGGAGGCTGGCAACCCTAGACCTGGCAGTAGTCTGGGGTTGCCATGTCCCCCCTGATTTGCATGACTCACCTCGCCTCGGATGCTTGCTAACGGTCATCAGCAGCTACCCTATGAAAGCCAGTGTGGTGCAGCAGTTAGAGCTTCAAAGTAGGGTCTGTAAGACCCAGGTTCAGATCCCCATCTTGCAGTGGAAGCTGACTGCGTGATTTTGGACCAGTCACATATTTCAGCCTAAGCAACCTCACAGGGTTGTTGTGCAGATAAAAAGGAGGAGGGAATAATGAAAGCTGCTTTGGTCCCCACTGTGGAGAAAGACTGTAATTTTCCTAGGTAGAGGCTGGGGAGTGGAGATGGAAAGCAGAACACAGAGAGGCAGATAAAGGTAGGTTGGCTGTTGGGTGAGAAGGAAATAGGGTTGCCAACTCCAGGTTGGGAAATTCCTAGATATTTGAGGGGTGGAGCCTGGAGAGGGTGGGATTTGAGGAGGGGAAGAACTTTGGACTGGTGTAATGTCATAGACTCCACCCTCCAGCCATTTCCTCCATGACAACCACCATTGCCAGCCTCCAGGTGAGGACTGAAGATCACCCAGAATTACAACTGTTGTCCAGGCGACAGAGATCAGTTCCCCTGGATAAAATGGCTGTTTTGGAGAGTTGCGTCTATGGCATCACCACACCAAGCGTCACTGTCCCAAGGCTCCACCAAGCGTCACTGTCCCAAGGCTCCACCCCCAAATCTCCAGGAATTTCCCAACCTGGAGCTGGCAGCCCTAAGGTGAATTGATCTTTGTAGCTGGGAGATCTGTTGTGATTCCCAGGCCGCTGCTACTGCTGCTGTGGGGGGAGAGGAAGCAGGTGGGTGGCTAGGAGCACTGCCACCACCGCTGCTGCTGCTCTGCGGAGTGGGGGAAGAAGCAGGCAGGAGGTTGGGAGAGTGATGGGGGCAGAAAGAAAGAATGATTGGGTGGGGGCAGAAAGAGAGAGAAAGAGTGATGAGTTGGGGAGGCAGAAAACAAAGAGAAAGATGACAAGTCAGAAGGAGAGGAAGTCACATGCATGGGGGAGAAATAGTGTGAGAGAGGTAGGGGGTGAGGAGAGGAAGCAAAGGTGTGAGGAATGAGATAACCATCCCGCAAGTTTCTTGTGGGTCTCCACTTGTACATAACTCATAATGAAATTTACATTATTGTGTATTGCTCTTTTACCTGGAGGAAAGCCAGCTTTTGACAATGGAGGGACAAATCCTTTTACTATTTTTTTTTTCTCTTTCTTGACCAATTGTGTATTTCACCTATCTTGGTTTTGTTTTAGGTGCCTCTTACTGAGCCTGTGGACCCAGTGGATTTGGAAGATTACCTTCTTACACATCCACTTGCAATGGATTCCGGTCCTTTGAGAGACTTGCTTGAATTTCCTTCAGATGATATTGAAGTTATCTATACTCCCCGAGAATGCAGAACACTTGTGTCAGCTGTACCTGAAGAGAGGTAAGGAGTAAAAAAAGCCTGCCACCTTGATCCTTTGTAAACACATATGAGTATGCACGGTTAGGGAGAAGACTCAAGTGAAAGTATTGACAGAGCTAGACCTAATTTTTCCTTCCAGGAGATAGCTTTTACATCTGAGAGAGAAACTCGTCCTGTCTACTCATCCTGAGAGAGAAACTCATCCTATCTACTAGTTCCCAATATTATTTTATTATTCCAACATTCTTAATTTAAATAGTTATTTGAATTGTGTAGCTGTATGTTGGGGTAGCACAGTGCTTTAGAGAATGAGTTTAAATCTAACCTCTGCCACAAAGTCATAAAGTGAGTTTAGGCAGATTATTCTTTCTCAGCTTCCCCACTTACATCTATAAAACGAAAACAATAATGCTAGTACAGCATACACTGCTTGTTATAATCATTGCAACAAAATAATATATATGAGGTGCTTAACACTGAAAGTGCCATATAAATATTCAGTTTATCTATCTAATGAACCAGCCATTTTTGTTAATCCCATTCTCAGTGCTGAAGACAGTGTGCAAACAAATTTAAAGCAAATTCAACCACTGGGGGGAAACAGGGTGGTTGGTTGGAGAAACAGAAACCTTATCATTTTAGCTAAAACAGTTTGTATGGATAAATATGAAAAATATATATATTAAATAGATAAATTGTACAAGCATTCTTCATATTTTATAATGAATGGGTCCCCTCTCCTTTTACATAACTCTGAATTAGGGTTGCCAGGTTTTACCATAGAATTTCCTATGATTCCTAGAGAGGCATGACTTCATTTCTCGTTCCCTGGCAGTGCCATCATGCCATAACTGGTGGCAGTTTTTTTAAAAAAATTCTGCTGCTGGCTTCTGGAATGTTTGCAGGCAAGGTGTGTTGGGAAAATAGGGGGTCTGCTCAGAGTGGGCACATGGCAGCCCTACTCTGAATACATTCCCTTCTTTTGTTCTAAATGAAAAGCTGCCATTAATTCTTATGGTAAAGGTAAAGCATTGTATTTGGCAGTGGGTGATCAGGAGAGAGATATATTTGGGAAATGTTGTGAAATATTGGATAGGGGAGAGGAAAAAGAACCAGAGCTGTAGGAAAGCCAGTGCTGAGGAGTCGGGGACGAAAGAGACCAAGAGAAATATTGGTCAATGTACCAAAGAGAGAAAATATATGAAGGGGTATTTCCCAAGGCAAAGGGATAGGAGAATTGAGTGAAGGGGTGTAGCTTTCCCTCCTGCCAGGGAAATCTCACAATTCTTTTGCTGTATTGTTCATAACATCACTGTATTGGAAGCTGTATGTAGCTTGTGAACACTTCAAATATGGCTGGTGGATTTCAGGAACAAAACTTAAGTTCTATCAGCCTTCCCCATTCACAGCTCTACCCTGGGAAAGCTTTTGAAAGAAAAGGAAACTACATAAGAAATAGTGATAGCAAGTATTGGCAGGAGCCTAGTCTGTGATGGCCTCGGGGGGAAAGGTACTGCTCTCCTTGAAAGGATGAGCTAAGCGCCAGATGGGAGCCCCTGCTTTTTCCTATCACCTAATCAATTTGCTGTTCTTTCCTTCTTTACTCAGCTTAGCCTACAGTTTCAAGAGGAGCATCTTCTGTGGCATAAAGGTAGAAAAAGCATCAGGGGAGGGGCACTTGCAGGAAAAGAACAGCAAGGGCTATGAAGGCAAGCATTTGAAGGGAAGCAGTGACTTGTTTTGGTCAGCTAGGTGGGTCACTTGCACCTCTGGGCCACCAGCCTTCAGGAGCCTCCTTACATGATTGCCAGTGTGATCTTAAGCACAGTTACACCGTTCTACACCAGTTGACTAATGGACTTAAAAGGGTGTAACTCGGGTTTGGTTTCCACTGTCTATCAGTCTTTCAGATATTGTATGGTGATGTATACGAATATTCAGGTACTGTTGAATCTGGCCAAATTCAGTCGTTAACTTGTTTTCCATAATTATTGTAATTGTTAAGATACATACCATAATGTGGAGGGAAGTGAATTTCTCCCTTGTGTGCTTTAACAATCTATGAATCAGAGAAAGGAGCAACTGGGAAATGCAAGCTGTTTTTATTAGTATAGTGTAAAAACATAGTTCAGTCTTAACAGCTTTAAAATATTTAAAAAATAGATTTTTGTGCTTTGAAAGAAGTGTTCTGTATATATTTTTTTCACCATAGTGAAATGGACCCTCATGTCAGGGATTGTGTAAGAAAATACACAGAAGATTGGGCCATTGTGAACAGAAAGTAAGTTGCATGTTTCTGTATTTGAGAGGAAATAAACCCTTGAGCTGAGCTGGGGGGGGGGCAGCATTTTCAGAGGAGGAATGCATTAATATTCAGAACAATTATGTTACTGTATTGCTTTATCAGTGGACATCATATTTTAGACTTTTGAGAAGAGGAAGCTACCCTACTAAAAGTGGGTATTTTCCCCGTCTCTCTTTTTGGCAGGAAGCAGGTGGATGGGCTTGTCTTATACATATAAGAAAGATTACATACAATTTAAATAGTTCATTGGATGTCATTGGAATGACTCATATGGCCTGGGTTTGCAAAACAGAGCTACTGTGGTCCTTCTTAAGACAGTAACTATACAAAGATTTATAAAACAAGGCAAAAACAGAGGCAGAGAAAAAATGCCAAAAATATGTAAAATATATTTAAAAGTAATGTATGAAAGACTTGAAAAAAGAAACAACTCCTGAGAACACAGGAGTTTCACTTTTTCAACAAATCCTTCAGTATTTGGTCTTCTCTACACTGAACTTTTATGTATCTGGTTTCTATTAGGTATTTTCTCAGGGATTTGTTATTTATTTAGTTAATTGCTTTTCTATAATACTATGTTATGGGGAGAGGATGGAGACTGCAACATAGAACTGCTGTTTTCAGTAGTAAGCTTAATTTTGGTGTCATTTCTAGCTCTAACCCCAGAGCATGGTATTTGGGGGCTATATTCCTGGTCATTATGAAATCCTAAGGATTTGCAATTCAAAAGCAAAATGATTTAATATTAGTATTAAAATATATCTTGATTCAAGTCTAGTAGCATCTTAGAGACCAACAAGATTTTTGGGATATATGCTTTTGAGAGTCTTTGTCAGATAAGGTACTACTGGACTCGAATCCAGCTGTTCTACTGTAGACCAAGACAGCTACCCTCTGAAACTATCATCAGGAAGTGTTTACCAACCCTTTCTGAGCCATCTATTGCATTCAGCGGCTTAATATTCAGTGTCATATCAGTTCCATCTTTAAAAAAATTATTTATTTTCAGTGTGAGATAAATCCTGAGGTTTTCCAAGACTTCCTCGTTAATAGTTCAAGTGAACAACACTCTTTATAGGTTAAATAGAAGCAAAGAGAGGGCATGTCAGCTACCATTTAAGATCATTTGCCAAGACAGGAAAAGGTATAAATCCTTGGCTGACAAACTCAGAGCTTTGAGCATCAGATATAGATGGGAGATTCCACAAGGTTTATCCTTTACGTATCAATTCTGTGAAAGGGGCAGTAGTAACAACTGTGAATTTTGGGAAGATTACACCATGGTGGCCATACTAAGTAATGTGCTGCTGAAAAAGATGAAGATTTATTTTGGTGTATACAATACTCCTTCCTTTTATGTTAGACTATTGATTGTTGCTATGTAGCAGGGATTCTGGACACTCCTCTTTTATCCTCAGGGGTCACATTGAGTTAAATCCTATGAATCACTAGTGTCTTCAGTTTTGGAGGCCAATTTTCCCTTCCTTCCCTTTATCCCAACATTCCCCTGTGGTCACTGAAAAGCTATGGACAACATGTCACAGAGCACATACAGTGTGCCATAGAGGAGCTGCAGTAAGGAGGTAGAATCCACTAGCTCTGTTAGCACAAGAAAGAGAGGGTTGATTTGTGCATTTGTGCATTTTGACACACATACTTAGCTAAATATCTTAAAGAAGACATGTGACAGGCAGGTATAGTGCTTTGAAGCTGTGAACTCCAAAACAATACAGCATCCAGCCATGTGGCTTCTTTTACTTGTGCAAAGGACCTGGTGTCTTTACGATTTTTTTTTTTTTTAATGTAGAAATCCTTGCTGGTTCTCATGAAACATTCAGGAATAAGAGCACCCCTCTCCTATAATCTAGATTATATGTCAAAAATATAGAAATTCTTCCTTGAGAGTAATATATGTGAATTTATATAACCTAAAGACTTACTGGTTGAAGAAGTTAATATACTGTAGTAGCTCTCTAGCCATACACACAGGGCAAGATCCAAAGGCCCATATGGACAGTATCCTCATATTCTTTTCACTGAAGAGCTGTTCTATACATTCATTGGAATTTCCTATTTTCATATGTCAATAATAGGCTACTATTAGAATCCAATGTGTATGCAAAATTCTTAAAATTTAAGACCACTAGCTTGCAGTCACAGAATATCAAAAAAGCCTAAATATCGACTAGATATGATGGTATTTGTAATAGTAAGACATGATCTTGCAAGCAGCAGTAGTCAGATTGCTTACTTGCTGAAAGTCTCTAGTAGATCAATGATTCAAAGTAGACAGTTTACTGAGATTAAATTATACTATATCCAGTGAAATGATTATACACTTCAGGTATCTTAGTGATGATCAATTAAGTGGTTACACTTGAGGGTATCTTGGGTTATGTGGATTCTGGCTAGCAGCATCCATGTCTCTTAAAAGAGGGAAAGGTGATAGCCTTAATAGTCAACTTAGACTATTATCTAAGTAAACCCCCCCATTGCAATCTATTAGACTCGCTTCCAATTAAAGAAGCTGAGCACTGAAGTTTAGGAGCCAAAATTGCAATTTTGATATTTCATTCAGTGAATCAGAACATTAAGATTATGCTGTTCAGAGTAATTAACATTTTAGTGAGTTGCTTAAGCTTTCAATTCTTAATATTTTGGCTTATTTTTGTGAGGGGGCATTGCTTTAGTATATTTTGTTTTGAATAGATATCACAAGCTGGGGACAGGATTTAATCCCAACACATTAGACAAGCAGAAGGAGAGACAAAAAGGCCTACCGAAGCAGATCTTCGAGTCCGATGAAGCTCCAGATGGCAGTGGTTATCAGGATGAACAAGTAGGGTGCCTTATAAGGCTTCCACTTTTAAGTTTACTTTGTTAAATACAGAGGAAGATGCCATGTTTTTCACATTTAATTTCCTCAATTTCAGGATGATCTTAAACGACGGTCCATGTCCATAGATGATACGCCACGTGGTAGCTGGGCTTGCAGTATTTTTGACCTGAAAAATTCCCTCCCAGATGCACTACTTCCAAATCTTTTGGATCGAACCCCAAATGAAGAAATTGACCATCAAAATGATGATCAGAGGAAATCCAACAGACACAAGGAACTTTTTGGCTTGCATCCAGCCCCAGAGGAGGTATGGTTAGAATACTTGAGAGTTCTTCAGACTAGCCTGTCCTTTGATCATCAACACACATGTACATGCACCCTGTCCTCTTTGACAATGATACTTAAGTAGTAAGTTACTGGGCACTTGCCATTTAGAGTATGAGCATGTGATGCTATGGAGATCTCGCCCACTCCCCTCCCTCACACACAGGATTTTCCCAAGTCTTTCTTCTTTCTGGCAGAGCAGCCCCTATATCTATTTTCTTCTTATCTGTTTGTCTATGGCTGTCCCATAGACTGCTTTATTATATATATTTTGGTGCTGGCCCAGCCCAAGGAACTGAGGAAAAAACCAAAATCACCTTCTTATCGTCTGCTTCTGAAATGGCACATAAGAGGCTTCTGGAAGTTTGAAATAAATAAATTGTTTTATTTAATTTAGAGGAGAAAAGGTCAGGTGGAATTGGGTAGGATGGATGAGGATAATAAATGATAACAACTGAGGTAACTTTGTAATCACACTACAGATAATTTGTTGCCAACAAGTAAGTGTTTCTGCTATTCAATAAGGTCTTTTAAAACTTTGAGGAGAGACTTTTCAATTTCTTCTTTAACACTCAAGCAAAGGTTTCTGAGTTTCAATGACAGTTCAGGTTTAGAAGGCAGGAACATACAACCCAGTTCCCAGGATTTTTCTTCATACGCAGACCAGGGATCAGTCCTCTCTTAAGAGCTATCTCCGTTTTCACTGGGCAGGGATTACTTCTCTTAACTAGAAATAATTTCTCTTTTTGGCTTGAATGGGGATCCTCTCTGATACTCACTCCTTTTGCCTCTTTACCAGTCCACCATCAGTGCTTAACTGTCTCTTCTTCAACTGTCAGTTCCCAACTGTTGTTTCTTAACTGACCCTCTCGGTGGAATTCCATTTGAATAGCCTGTCACTCAAAGGTTCTCAGACTCTGTGGGGCATTAACCCTTGATAGTCTGCCACAGATACTTTGAATATTAAAGAAGTATAAACAGAAATGGGAAGTAGACTGGAAAATCCTACCGAGATCTTTGGTTTTTGAGCCTTTAAGTTGCCCACATTCTCAAACTCTTCTGCATAACCCTAAGGACTCAAAAGCTTCTATGACAGCTAAAGATCTTCTTCATGGTCTCTGTGCATCACACCTGTGGGGGGATAAAGGGCGCCTGCGCCTGACCCATCAATAACTTAACAAGCCTAAAGAAACCTCTTCCCATGCTCCGCCCCTGAGGCACACGCGGGCCCTCACTGCACATGCCTACAGGGGCGGAGCCCCGGGTTCCCACCAGTTCTCTTCTGACTGCTGCACTGAGCAGTCGCTCTTAGACTTGGCCGGTGAACTTAGTCTCCAAACTGTGAGATTAGCCTTACTTACCTCTACTTTCCAACTTTTATCTCTTTATACTTCGATCTTTGTCTACTATTAAAAAGGGGGGGGACTCTCCCCTCTCTTCCCCACATGCCCCTCCGTGGGGCCTATGGCAAAGCGTTGGAGCTTTTTCAAGCGCTGCACCAAGTGTGGAAGCAAGCTCGCCCCCACAGACGGATGTTCGTTGTGCCTATCGTGCCTGGGGGAAGCCCACCATACAGATTTGTGCAATCACTGTGCCAAATTTTCTCAACAAACTCAAAAAATCCGAGCAGCAAGACTGAGATCGGCATTGATTGAGTCGGCCCTCTCTCTGACACCGATGGTTACATCTGCACATCAAAACCGTCCCAACTTGACACCGGGGCCATCGGCAGTGATGAAATCAACTGCCCCAGCATTGGGACACACCGGCACCGACTGCTCAACATCGAAGCAGTTGGATATGACATCCCAGTCAGCTCTCTCAACCCCTGCTAAGAAACACAGGAAAGGGTAAAGGCAACAAAGTGGGCAAGGTCCATAAACCAAAGCCTGGACCTAAACCACGAGGCAACAGCCCTCAGCTGGACTCTTCCACACTGTCCTTCATCACGCCGACAGAGCGCTCCCCACCGACCCAGCTGTCAGCATCGGAAGCACCTCCTCTACACCTCTTGGACTCCCCGATCCAACAATGGGATTTCCAGGAACAGGTGGTCTCTCCAATTCATTCACTTTGTTTTTTGGCATTGGATGTGGAAGAGATCAATTTGACCCAAAGATCGTCCCATCAGCCCTCTTTGGGGGACTCTTTGGCTGCAAATGATATTTCCAGGCCAGTTGATACTGAGTCCTCTTGCAACTGAAGTCCCAGTGACCGACGGAAGGAGTGCTCTTGCTCTCAAGAACTTTCGCCATCAGGATACCAGCCATCGGTACTAACATTTCAGATGCCTACAGTGCTTTCCTGGGATCATCGACAGATGCAATACATCTGTGGGGCGTATCCATTACACTCAGCACTGCCATGGATGCCCTTTCGTCCCCCAGTTAACCTACTCTCGTCGATCCCGATCTCCATCAAAACGGATCCCTTCAGCCTCGGCATCGAAGTGATTGACATAGAAGGATTGGGCACCACCAGCAAAGAAGCATAAGGCACGGCATACTCTAGCAGCTCCTCTGCCCCCACCACAGCTCACTCCTCCACCAGCACCCACACTAGACAGTACCTTACCACCAGGATCCTCAGACTCTGAAATTTCTGGGTCCTGCTCTGACAACAATTTGGTGGGTCCAGAATCTGACCATCACTCTCCACATGGAGATTCTCCCCCTGACCGAGTAAATGATAACCTCCCTATTTCACCGTCAGAGGACTTGAAATCCTGTGGGGAACTGGTCAAACATATGGCTCATGCATTGGCATTTCTGTCATCCAACCTAAACAGACTGTCACAGACTCAGTCTTTGACATTTTTCAACTAGACACTTCCACAGCTATCTCCTTGCCGGTAACCAACATGATCCTACAAGCAGCCAAAGCTCCCTGGGACAAACCCTCCTCCACTCCCATATTTTCTTGTCATCTAGAATATATGTACCGTATTCAAGAAACCGGTGCTGAGTTTCTCTCTTGTCACCCTAAACCTAACTCTGTTGTAGTCACTTCAGAATCCAAGAGCAAATGCACCCACTTAGCCCCATCAGACAAGGAAGGCAAGACGTTGGATGCGTTTGGCAGAAAGTTTTATTCAGCAGGTGCCTTGGGAATTAAGAACATAAATTATTTAGCCTGCATGGGACATTATCAGTACTCCCTTTGGGAACAATTGTCTGAAGTCCTCCAGGTGCTGCCGGAAGAAAAGCACCTTCTTGTCTGCTGCCTTGAAAAAGAAGGCATGGTCCTTGCCAAGCAACAATTAAATTCCTCCAAGCACACGGTAGACATCCTTGCTAAAACAGTTACATCAGCCATAGCCTTGCTTAAACATTCCTGGCTCCGCTCCACATCACTTCCACAGGACACTTGTTCTTGCACTGAAGATCTTCCATTCGATGGTCAGGGCCTATTCCACGGTACAATCGATACAGTCCTGCAAGACATGGATAAAAGTATTAGGACCTCACGTAACCTCGGTGTAACAGGCTCCACACATACCTCAAAACAGAAGTCCTGGTCCCGTACATGGTCTAAAAGGCAGTACACCAAGTCCTCTCCAGAACAACCTTGGAGAGCAAAATATTCCCAATTGAACACCCGACACTCTTATAAGAAACCCAAGTTTCAGTCGGGTCAACAAACTCCCAGATCCAAGGGTTCACAGACACCCAAACAGGGTCGTTCTCCCTCCACCCCAGCGAAACACACTTTTCCCCTTTCCTTCAAGAGTGGCAGATGGTAACATTGGTCAATTGGGTACTCTCAATCATTGCCAATGGATACATGATAGAATTCCGACAGACACCCACAACTCCAAACTTCGTCAGCACCCCTTCTTCCCAGGCCCTCCAGAATGAGGTCCACAACTTTCTAGCAAAAACTGCCATCGAACCTGTCCCTCCCCAGTTCAGTATTCTCGGTACTTCACAATCCCAAAGAAGGATGGGGCTTTCGACCCATCATGGATCTCCGGGCTTTAAATTATTTTATTGTCTATCACAAATTTCAAATGGTCTCTCTACAAAATATTCTCCCACTTCTTAAACTAGGAGCCTGGATGGCCACACTAGAGCTCCAGGATGTGTACTTTCATCTCAACATTTGGTGGCCTCATTGACAATTCCTGAGGTTTGTGATTGGGACCGAACACTATCAATACAAAGTGCTCCCTTTCAGAATTTCCACCGGCCCACGAGTCTTCACAAAGACAATGGTAGTTGTCGCAGCTTACCTACGTCTGAAGGGAACACTCGTATTCCCATACATAGATGATTGGCTACTGGTGGCAGACTCGAAAGTCAACTGGAGAGAGACATCCATCGAACGGTAGATCAGCTAGCCACCTTTGGTCTGCAGGTCAATCACAAGAAGTCCCATCTCATACCTGCACAAAGAGTACACTTCATTGGAGCAGTTATAGACACCACGGCCAGTCGAGCCTTTCTCACAGTGGAAAGGGCCGCAGCGATAATTTCTGCAGTTCACAGTCTTCAGGTAGATCTGTGTACGACAGCCTTACCAGTACAGCAGCTGTTAGGGATGATGGCAGCAACGACAGCGGTCTTCCCTTTTACCAAACTTCACATGCGAGTATTCCAGATGTGGTTCTTGCGGCACTTCCAGCCATCGAGACAGCACCAATTAGTGACGCTTCTTGTGCCACCGTACATTCTACAGTTGCTTTCCTATCTCACCACAACATGCTTCACCTATAGCTCACGGCATGGAAGATCTTCCTCAACCATTCTCAGAGTGAAGGAGGTCATCCTCAATAGCAGGAAGCCATCTACCAGACACTCTTATGAATACAAATGGAACAAGTTTGTGAGGTTCTCAATGGCTTCCCACAGACCCCCAGAAACCAGTGAGCATTCCTGTGTGTTCGAGTTCCTACTCTTCCTCATTGATGCGGGATTGAGCTATTCCTCGGTATGGGTCTACCTACTAGCCATTGTAGCACACCACCACACCATAGATGGTTTCTCAGTTTTCACCCATACACTAAACATTTCCTCAGGGATTGCTGCATCTGCACCCCCCCCCCAGAAATCACCTGTCCCAGATTGGGACCTCCCTCTAGTGTTGCGAAAACTAATGGGTAAATTGTTTGAGTCTCTAGCTACTTGTGATGTCTGGTTACTTGCATGGAAGACAGCGTTTCTGATCACTATTACGTCTGTGCGAAGGGTGGGAGGGCTAGTTGCCCTCTGCGCCTTACCTTCGCTTTTCCAGTAATGAGGTCAGGTTGAGTCCGGACGTCCACATCCTACCGAAGGTGGTGTCAGATTTTCATCTCCACTCCAAAATATCGCTTCCGGATATCTTCCAAGACCCAAGGGCAATGGGGAGCAGATGCTTCACTCATTAGATGTGAAACGGGCTGTCTTACCTCCACCGAACACGATGGTTCCATAAGAACCCACATCTCTTTATTCCTATGGACTACAGAAGCAAGGCCAACCCATCTCAGCTCAGAGGCTCTCGAAATGGATTGCGGAAACAATCAAGCTGTGCTTCCTCCTGGCTAAACAACCCTTACCACGGGTCGTCAGGGCACACTCCACCAGGGCAATGGCTGCCTCCACTGCCTTCTTGAAAGGGGTACTGCTGCAGGACATTTGCAAGGCAGTGGCATGGGGGACCCCAAATACTTTTATTCATCACTATACTCTGGATGTTCGTGTCCTCCCAGGGGGCTGCAGTGGGACGATTGGTCTTTTGCTCGGTGTTTGACTGAGTAGCTGACAGCACCCTCCTCTGGTACGTCCTAAGCTTGCTACTCTCCCACAGGTGTGATGCACAGAGACCACGAAGAAGGTAAACAGATGGCTTATCTGTAACTGATGATCTTCGAGTGGTCATCTGTGCATTCACACCACCCGCCCAGCCTGCTTGATATTGGGTTAGGTTTTTCAGCAGTCAGAAGTAACTGGTGGGAGACCCAGGCTCCGCCCTGTAGGTATGCGATGTGAGGGCCCACATGTGCCTCGGGAGTGGAGCGCAGGAAGAGGTTTCGTTAGGCTTGTTAAGTTACCAATGGGTCAGCTGCAGGCACCCTTTTTCCCACCACAGGTGTGAATGTGCAGATGACCACTCGAAGATCATCAGTTTACAGGTAAGCAACCTGTTTTTTCCTGATTTACCAGTCGGACTTTGTAAGACTCTTTTATGCATGTTGCCCATGATGCGGATAATTAAGTACCTTGGTTCTAACCAGTGAATTGTGCCAGGTTTTCTGTGAAATAAAGAGAAGAGTCAATTTACCTAAAGAGTTTAACATTTAAAGCAGGCGCACAGTTATGGCTACAATCCTAAGAACACTTTCCTGGGAATAAGCCCTGTTGAATACAATGGGACATTTTCTCAGTAAACCTGCTTAGAATCGCTCCATGTAGTACACCATTATTATTTCCATGAGATTGTTGATAAAATTGGCTAAAGTAGGGTATGATTTAAGGACAAATGTTGACATTTGGGCATTACTTTTCATGGCATTTGTTTTACAGACCTTCAATCCATTGTTATGTGGCCACCCTAAATTAAATCTCTTTACCGAGTGTATAGGAGCTGTGGTGGCTCAAGTGGTTAAGACGCTGAACTGCAGGCTGTGGAAGGTCGGTAGTTCAGCAGTTCAAAACCCGAGTTGCCGCATGACGGAATGAGCTCCCGTCTCTAGTTCCAGCTCCTGCCAACCTAGCAGTTCGAAAGCAAGAAATTGCAAGTAGATAAATAGGTACCACTTTGGTGGGAAGGTAACAGCTTTCCGTGCGCCTTGGTGTTTAGTCATGCCAGCCACCTGACCATGGAAATGTCTTTGGACAGTGCTGGCACTTCGACTTTGAAACCGCAACCCTAGAGTCGGACTCGACTGGCTTTTGAGCAAGGGAACCTTTACCTTTACCGATATTTATAGTTGCAGCAAATGCCCTTAAACCCTGATTAAATTGTTCTAATGTCTTGGCGGCGGCGGCGGCGGGGGATTTTGTTTCCTTATGTCAGTCATTTAATAACATGTTTTGTAGAAACACTGCATATATTCATCCTGTGCCTGTGCCCAATTGCAGGAGGAGCCAATAGAAAGGCTGAGTATCCCTGAAGTCCCCAAAGAGCACTTTGGGCAGAGGCTTCTAGTGAAGTGTTTGTCACTAAAGTAAGTAACCAAGATATATATAATGCTTTTAAAATTGGTATTCATATATCTATGTATTCTTAGCTCAAGAAGTTTTAGTGCAGGGGTGTCGAACTCATTTGTTATGAGGGCTGGATCTGACATATAAGAGACCTTGTTTGGCTGGGCCATTTGTGTCATAAAATTTAATACCAGGTACCGGAGATATACACTTTATAAAAAACACAAACACCATTAAAGATTTTTTAAACTCTAAATAAAATATGCTTAAAACACTAGCCCTCTTGCAATATTTTGTTTATTTAACAGTGTCTGAAAACTGACACCTCTTGCTCTAAATAATTGCATCAAAATGTCTGTGCTGCAGGAATCTTGAGTATGCTCTTCAGGTGTGTATTTGTAAGCTGCAAACCTACTTTTGATTTATTGACATTCATTACAGAAATCTCATGCTAAGTGTTCTGAGCCTAGGACCCAGGGGAAAACATGAAATGTGTCATGGGCATGGATGAGGATGAGCTGACAGAGCCTGCAGAAGCCACAGCTGGCCCCTCTGAAGCAGCAGAGGAGGATAGCTGGCAAGTGCCTGTAACAGCAGTCTTCACACCTGGCCCAGATAAGAAGGAAGAACTGTAAGCTGAAAGTCCTCCTGACTCACCCCCATGTGTGACTTGTTTAAGGGAGCGACTGTGACAAAACTTAGCAAGCAGACGAAGAGAGGCCAGGCTACAAGGGAGATGCTCAGCCAGCCCAGAGTTCTAACAGGAGCTCCTTTGGTGTTCACGACTGCAGCCTCGGTGGAGGGTGCCGTGGGGGGAACGATTCCCCGCCTGCCTGCACATCTGTCTTGGCCGCCTCCGACCCCTTCGCACTGGGGTCCGCGGAAGACTCAACAGCAGGATGACTGGACTATGTACAACACTCAGGGCACCCGAGAGGTGTACTCCCGTCGGGGGAGCGGATTACGTGAGAGTCTGTTTGACAAGGGATTGTTCCCGGAGCCGGGGACTACCTCGGAGAAGGGGAGTTCCAAGCAAGACCTCGAGGAGTGGATGTTCGAGCCATCGGGGCCGCGAGGCCACGCAGAGGATGAGGAGGGCACCGGAGCCTTCCAAACGGAAGAGGACTATGACCCACCCCCGGACTATCGACCTCGGGACCCCATCCCGGAGGAAACCACCGGGGAACGACTGGCAGAACTGGAATACTCGGTGAGGGACTTGTTGAGGACATTCCAGGATGTAATGGAAGCTCTGCCGGGAATGATGGACGTTAGAATGGCTAATTTCCTTGACGCACACGCCGCGCAGCAACAAGTTGTCCCTGCACCGGGAGTTCCCGCACCGCAGGTGCCTGCTCAGCCGCCGACGGGACCTCCGCTGCAAGTACCGGGAGTTCCCGCGCCGCAGGTGCCTGTCCAGCCGCCGGCGGGACCGCCTCAGCAAGGGCCTGTGCAACAGCCGATGCCGGGGGGTCCGCCGGGACCGGGTCTGCCGCCACCGATGAGGCCAATGCCAGCGGGGCCACCGGTTGGTCCGGGTCTCCCTCTCAGGGGAGTTCCGGGTCAGCTGGGACCGTTGGTAAGGCCTCCACGGCCCAGACCCAAAGATCTACTGGAGGCTACCTTTGACGGCAACCCAGATGAACTCGCTTTCTTCACGGTGAGAGTGCATAAATTCGTAGAAGAGAGCCGACACCTGTTCCGAAATGAAGCTGGCCTTATTGATGTCATCTCGGCGAGACTGAAAGGAGACGCCGCCACATGGTATGTTGGACTGCACAATGACCGCGGTCCGGAACTTTTGAATTTGCGAGCATTCATGTGGGCGCTGCGGGCGAGGTTTGAAGATGTCAACGCGAGCCAAAGAGCTAAAGCGTTTCTCCGCACCTACCGCCAGAACAAGAAGTCGGTTCGCGAGTACACACTGGAATTCCACAAGCAAGCAGCAAAGCTCCGAGACTACCCTGATCATATATTGGCTGAGATGTATCGATTGGGACTCAACGCAGACATCCGAGAAACGGTTCTGAAGACTGTCAATCCTGTCTCCCTGATGGCCTGGACCCAGGAAGCTGAAAATGCAGAAGATCGGCTCACCACCATCAAACTCGACTTGGCTGCTACGACCAACAGACCCGCCGCTGCCAGTGCCTCCAGACCCAAGACTCAACGCCTGTCGGAATCGGCACGAGAACTACGTATGAAGATGGGGCTCTGTCTCAAGTGCGGGGAGAAGGGGCATTTCGCTGTGGATTGTGGCAGCCGTCAGGTAAAAGACAAGCCGCCTACTCCAAGCCCGAAGACACCGCTGACGGGGAAGAAGGGGATGGCTAAACCGCGTTTCTCCAAAGCTCTGCAGGCGGCCCAAGGCCTGGAGGGAATCGAACCGTCTGCTGCCGAGTCAGAAGAGGAGGTGGTGGCTGAAACGGCGGAAAACGACAACGGCCTGTTGTGAGAGGCGCAAAACGACACGGCCATTCTAGCTCTGCGCCCAAGGTGGTGAGAGAAACCCCTTCCCTGTTTTTCGTGACTGTCTCGTTAATGAATCCGCTCCTGGGGACCCACGTTAGGGTGAGAGCGTTGATTGATTCTGGGTGTGGGAGGGATCTCATCAGCCCTAGAGTGTTATTGGCACTGGAAGCGGGGATAGTCCCCTTGAAGTCTCCCATCATTTTTACCCAAATGGATGGGGCACCCATGGAACCTTGTACACACGAGACTATGGCTTTGCGGTTGGGGGCTGGCGATCATTGGGAATCCAGATCCTTCATTGTTACCCCTAAATCGCAGTTTGACTTAGTACTGGGGAGTCCCTGGTTGTTTACCCATGACCCTTACATCTTGTGGGAAGAAGGGGTTGTCAAATTTGTGTCGGCTAAATGTGTAGATCACTGCTGGTTGGACTCGTGGGGGGACCAGCCGACCGCACAGTTCCCCTGCGGCGCTTTGCAGCCGGAAGAGTTAGCTTCTTTGCCTCGAGAGTATAGAGACTTGGCGAAAGTGTTTGGCGAAGATGAAGCTAACGAATTGCCCCCCCATCGCTCTACTGACTGTGCTATTGAACTTTTGCCTGACTGTAAATTACCTAAAGGTAAAATCTATGCGATGGGGCCGGCTGAGAAAGTTGAACTGCGGAACTTTATTGATAAAAACCTAGCCCGAGGTTTCATTCGCCCGGCTTCCTCCCCTTTCGCCGCGCCTGTACTTTTCCGAAAGAAGAAAGACGGGGGGCTTAGATTGTGCACTGATTATAGGGGTCTGAACGCTGTTTCTTTGTCCAATGCCTACCCCCTCCCGCTAATCAAGGACTTGGTAGCTGAGGCCACCAAGGGCAAAATCTTCTCGAAACTTGACCTCCGAGATGCATATTTCCGTGTGCGCATTCGGGAGGGGGATGAAAGTAAGACTGCATTTAATACCCCTTTGGGGCAGTTTGAGTACCTCGTTATGCCCTTCGGGCTTCAAGGGGCTCCGGGGGTCTTCATGAACCTAATCAATGAGGTCCTACATGAGTTCTTGTTCAAAGGAGTGGTCCTTTACCTTGATGACGTGTTGCTGTACTCTCAGGACCTCCCGTCGCATATTAAATTGGTGCGCCAGGTCCTTAAGCGACTTTATGAACACCACCTGTTTGCAAAGCTGTCAAAATGTGAATTCCACAAGACATGCATTGACTTTTTGGGTTATCGCATCTCTGGGGGGAAGGTGGAAATGGACCCTGCTAAAATACAGGCTGTACTTGACTGGGAACCCCCCAGGACCCGCAAACAATTGCAAATGTTCCTCGGATTCGCCAATTTTTATAGAAATTTCATCCAGAATTTCGCTCAAATTGCCCTTCCTCTGACTGATTTGCTAAAGACCAAGGGGAAGGGGTTTGATGCTACGAAACCAGGCGCCCCGCTTAAATGGTCCCCTGCTTGCGCAGAGGCTTTTGAGAAACTTAAACTGATGTTCACATCTGAGCCAGTGCTAGCGCGCCCTGATGAAACTAAAAAATTCATTGTCCAAACTGATGCCTCGGATGTGGCAATGGGGGCCGCTATTTTGCAAGAAGGGGAAGATGGTCGTTTACACCCCCTCGCATTTGTGTCTAAAAAGTTTTCTGACGCTGAACGAAACTGGGGGATTTGGGAGAAGGAGGCATCAGCGATCCGGCTGGCTCTCTCCACTTGGAGGCAGTGGTTGGAGGGGGCGCAACTGCCATTTGAAGTCTGGACTGACCATAAAAATCTGGAAATGCTGAAATCCCCCCGTTCTCTCAACGCTAAACAACTTCGTTGGGCGGACTTCTTTGCTAAGTTTCGATTCACTCTTCGTCATTTCCCTGGGACGGCTAATTCCCTGGCTGACGCGCTCTCACGCCTCCCACAACATGACAGTCAGCGTGAAATCATCATGGACTCTGTTTTTTCCCCCTCCCACCTGGGGGGGGCTGTGGTCACCCGTGCGCAAGCGCGCTCGATTCCGCGCTCTGATGAAACTTCGCCTTCCCTTTTCCCTGGGGGGGGGGGGGCTGGGTCCAGAAATATATGTCTGCTTTTACTGCTGATGATGATGCCTCCCTGAAAGCGTTGCCAGATTGTGTCCGTAGCCCTGAAGGTCTGATTTATTCTGGAGACAAACTGTATGTGCCTATTTCGATGAGGAGGGAGGTGATGGATTCTGCTCATGGTTCGAAACTGGCAGGGCATTGGAGTTTTGTTAAATCTCTGCAACTCATCCGCAGACAGTTCTGGTGGCCACAGATGCGCAAAGACCTCTTGACTTTTGTTCGGTCCTGCCAAACCTGTGCCTTGACTAAACCCAGAGTGGGCAAGCCTCCTGGTCTTCTGCAGCCACTCCCTACCCCATCGAGACCGTGGGAAGTGGTGTCCATGGACTTTATTACTGACCTCCCTGCGAGCAAAGGGAACACTGTTATTTGGGTGGTTGTTGATTTATTTTCTAAGCAAGCTCATTTTGTGCCTTTTCCTTCCTTGCCTACAGCTCAGAGGTTGGCGAAATCGTTTATGTCTCA